GGAGTTGACAAAGATAGAATTTATAAACATAGCTTTTCAGGTTTTTACCATTCCTAGTCTACCTAATTTGTATGTCTTCTCTTTCCTTGATCGGCAATATTTTCAAGTGTTGATTGGAAGGACCGAAAATTGTAAAATGTCATGCTAATGTATGTTCGCATCATGATTGAAGTCATGTCGTATTAAAATTTGTTCCACCCTTATCTTACCTATTTATAGTCACGTAAAATCAAGTTGTGTTGCACATAAGCATTGTATACTCGAATTTTGTAGCCAAGTTCATGATGATTTTATTTAGAGAACAAAACTATCTGCTCAATTCAGTTATTATCCTAATCTTTTAAAAATTAACTAATCTGTTAACTTCGATTTTAAATTGGATTAACAAATGATGATAAGAATTATCAATCTATGCAAGTTGGTTTTTGCAATCTATAATTTGTCATCCAAGAACTCAATACTGCAATCCCTTGTGTAGAAACTAAACCCATCACCCATAAGTCTTTTATCTATACTACTAATAAAAGTATATTAAGTGAAAAAAATTTAATTTACTATTTTACCCTCATAAAGAATTTTAAATACCACATTATCTTTTTATAGTTAAATATCTAAATTACAAGCACAACCTTATGTATTTAAATATTTAAATTACCCTCTAACATTTCTTTTAATTCTCTATTTTTGTTGTATAAATATCAATATCCATGAATTTTTTTTTTCTATCTATACTACTAATAAAAGTGTGTAAGAATGAAAAACTTTTGATTCACTATTTTAATCTTCTAAAGAATTTTAAATACCACACTATCTTTTCGTAGTTAAATATCTAAATTACCATCATATATTTTTAGGTTTAAATCTCTAAATTACCTATAATATCACTTTTAGTTCTTTATTCACTATGTATAAATATTTACGTTACCCTTCAAAAATATATGCATCACTATAGTTTTTAATGAAGTGTTCAAAAAATCTTTAAANTTCACTATGTATAAATATTTACGTTACCCTTCAAAAATATATGCATCACTATAGTTTTTAATGAAGTGTTCAAAAAATCTTTAAAAATTTTATCAATCTAACATTACTCATTTCAAATATAAAAATATTATTATGCTTATTTATATTATCTAAAATTTTAATNAAAATTTTATCAATCTAACATTACTCATTTCAAATATAAAAATATTATTATGCTTATATATATATATAACATTACTAATTTCAAATATAAAAATAATATTATGCTTATTTATATTATCTAAAATTTTAATCATTTCATTTTTAAGATAAAAAATAATCTTTTATGTAGTTTTTTAAAAAATAATTTATGTTAAATCAACATAATTCTTCAATTATAGTAAAATTTTCATGTTTTATTAAGAGTTTATATAAAAAAAATTGTAGTGTATTTTTAAGTAAAACTTGAATTTTAGAATTTAATATTCTTTTAAAATATATATTATACATTAGTGTATTATATTTTAAGGTTAATAGCACTTTTAGTCTCTGAAATATTCCTGTTTTATCAGTTTGGTATTTATTATATCAATTTTGTCAATTTGGTCTCTAAAGTTAATGATTTAAATGATCTTTACATAAATAATTTGTTAATATTTTGACAAAAGTGATCACGTGTTAGTCACGTGATATTAAATGATAGAATGACATGCGGTCACTTCTATANGATCTTTACATAAATAATTTGTTAATATTTTGACAAAAGTGATCACGTGTTAGTCACATGATATTAAATGATGGAATGACATGTGGTCACTTCTATAAAAAAAATCTAATGGATCGTCTGATTAAGGACCATTTAAAAAAGAATTGAATATTTTATGAACTAAATTGATGAAATTCATATATTAAGGATGAAATTGACAAAAAAAAATGCATATTTTAGAGACTANTTAGTCACATGATATTAAATGATGGAATGACATGTGGTCACTTCTATAAAAAAAATCTAATGGATCGTCTGATTAAGGACCATTTAAAAAAGAATTGAATATTTTATGAACTAAATTGATGAAATTCATATATTAAGGATGAAATTGACAAAAAAAAAAATGCATATTTTAGAGACTCAAAGTGTTATTAACCCTATATTTTATCCTTATTGACCTAAGAATATTGAAAATTATTGTTATTTTATTCAAGTTGAAACGTAATCAAACAAATTTCAAATGAATTATTTTTATCTCTTTTTTCTTATTATTAGAACAACAATCACTGGGAGCAAAAAATATTTTTTGAATTTTATTGTATAATACGAGAGATAAAAATATGATTTTTGATATGATTTTTAATGTAGTTATACATATACCTAATATTTTTTATTAATATTGTATATACGAAAATTATTCACGTGCAAAGTACGTGTTGCATTGCAAGTGAAATTAAAATATACTATGTTCGGATCATAATAGAATAAAGTAGAAAATCTTTCAAGATTTATACAACACCAAATCAAAACTACTAAAGAAAACAACTATTTTCTGTATAATACCAATTACAATTATGATAAACAAATTGGTTTGCACACCANCTACTAAAGAAAACAACTATTTTCTGTATAATACCAATTACAATTATGATAAACAAATTGGTTTGCACACCACCTATCAAATATGCAGTATAAAATGCAGTAAAATAAGTAGAGGCGGAGAGAAGACAACGTTTATAGTGATTTGGTCAACGTGACTTACGTCCACTTTGGATGGCAAGGGTCGCCGGTATTTTATTATTTCCGGTGTGAGAGCAGAATGTTACAAACTTTAAGAGAGGAGGAAAGAGTTTTGCTCAAATGAGTGATATAACCCCCAAGTGTTGGTGGNGATGGCAAGGGTCGCCGGTATTTTATTATTTCCGGTGTGAGAGCAGAATGTTACAAACTTTAAGAGAGGAGGAAAGAGTTTTGCTCAAATGAGTGATATAACCCCCAAGTGTTGGTGGGGCTTACAATTTATAGTGGTTTAGTGTAGTAATTGAATAGCTAGTCTGGTGGTCATAACGGATTGAGGTCGTTTAATAGTCATAACGGATTGTGATGACTTTAACGGTAATTAAATAGCTTGGCGACCTCACCTCTCCTCAACAAGCAAGGAAGTTATGGTGCTCTCCAAGGGACTTAGTCAAAGGATGTGGGAAGAATGACTCTCTCCAGGCCGCGAGGAAAAGGCTCTTGGATGCTCCCTTGGTGGCGTAGA